AACAAGCCAGGAATAGACAGGCAAAGCAGATGAAGCAAAGCGGGTGAGACTTCTTTTTTTGATGTATCTCATGTCAGAGTCTCCCAAACGTCTCTCCTGTCTCTTGCTACCTGACGCCTTTAACTGGAGATGCTGTTAGGAATTGAGCCTGGGACTTCCTGCATATTTATTTATTTACTTGCAGTATTTCTTATATTTATATACTACCTTTTATTTCAAGGAGCTCACGGTGGTGAACCTGGTTCTCATCTCCCCATTTCACCCTCACATCAACCCTGCGAGGTAGCTGAGGCTGAGAGACAGTGACTTGTCCGATATCGCCCAGTATGTTTCATGGCCAGGTGGGGATTTGAACTCCTGGGCCCAGCAACTGGACTATGGGTCCTCACTATTTACATATCCAGTTGGGTAAAGCTGCATCTGTGAACTTTTGCCGGGTATCCAGCTGTTAAAGGCCTCAAGAGCCTTATCGCCAGTTGCTACTGTTATGTCAGCAGAGTAAGAAGGTGCAATTTTTTCAGGCTGAAGAGTTTCACAGAATCATAGAGTTAGAAGGGATCCCAAGGGTCATCTAGTCCAACCCCCTGCAATGCAGGAACAACTAGTGAGGAAGGACTAGGCAGGAGACAGCAGAAGCAGCTGGGGGAGGCTTGGCTGAGATAACTATACACATTTTGCTACTTGACTAAATGAAGAAAATATCGCTGAATGCTCAATTAACGTTAGCGTCCTTTAAATGTAGGCAGCCAGGCACACTAGTATCTGAGTATTGGCTCTGAGTATCTATCACACTCCTGAGTGCTGTTACCCAATACTTAAATTTTCGACTGTTGCATCGCTGCCGACCTTCACCATTAGGCCATGCTGAAAGCTTGTATTTCTTCCTGCCAGCAGGAATGGGGTTGAGCAACCAGGCTAATTTATACCTGCTGGTGGAAACAAGACCTCAAAATGGTGGTGTGAAATTTTGCTGGATGCAGAACATGCCCTTTAACTGTTGCCTGCCTCCCCCACCTCCAGATTAACAAGAAGCTTCTCCTTTGCACAGGCCATAGGAGGAGTCCCAAGGCCCCTCCAGTCTAATATGTCTGCCTTTGGCGGCGCTTACAATGGCACCCTCCACCCTTCAATCTTCCTCCTGCTGGGGATCCCAGGGCTGGAGGCGGCTCACGTCTGGCTGGCCATCCCCCTCTGCTTCATCTACGTGGTGACTGTGTTGGGGAACTGCACCATCATGTTCGTCATCTGGGTGGAAGAGACCTTGCATGAGCCCATGTACTTATTCCTCTGCATGCTGGCTGTCATTGACCTGGCTGGATCTACCTCCGTTGTGCCCAAAATGCTTTGCCTCTTCTGGTTCGGCTCACGAGAGATTCGCTTTGAAGCTTGCTTGACACAGATGTTCTCCATCCATGCGCTGTCCATCATCGAGTCGGCCATTTTGTTGGCCATGGCCTTTGACCGCTACATGGCCATCTGCCAACCGCTGCGCTATGCGGCCATCCTCACAAATCCTGCCATCGTGAAAATTGGCTGCCTGGCGGTTGCCAGGGGGGCCATTCTGACTGCCCCATTCCCCATCCTTGCCAGCAGGCTGCCTTACTGTCGAACCAATGTGGTCCCCCACACCTACTGTGAGCACATGGGCATCGTCAGGCTGGCCTGCGCTGGCACTGTGATCAGCAACATGTACGGCTTGACCGTGGCCTTGCTGGTGGTGGGCCTGGATTTAACGTTCATTGGTGTGTCCTATGCAAAGATCATTGTGACCGTGCTGAGGCTGCCATCTCGGGAAGCCCAGGCCAAGGCCTTCAACACCTGTGGTTCCCATATCTGTGTGATTGTCTTGGCCTACACACCTGCCCTCTTCTCCTTCCTCACACACCGCTTTGGCCACAATGTGGCCCCCTACATTCATATCCTCATCGGCAACTTCTATATTCTGGTGCCTCCCTTCTGCAATCCCATCGTCTATGGTGTGAAGACCAAGCTGATCCGTGACAAGGTGGTCGGCTTACTCCTGAGGAGAAAAGATGTCTCCTAAAAAGAAAATAGAGGCTAGTGACGCATCTGGACACTTACTGGTGGGGCAGTGAATGCCAAAAAGAAAAAAGAAAGGACACAAATCCAGTCGCTCTTGGTCTTGGACCCAGAATCATATCTCTTATGAAGTATATGAACATTTTAAAAATTCCCATAATTAAAATGTGCACTAAAACAACACAGTAATTAAAGCAGGAGAGACTGGCTGAGAGATCAAGGGAAGGCAGGTGCAGATAGGTGCCAACACACAAGGGGTCTCTTGTATTTCAACAGGGAGTGCATTCTATTACACCAGGGCCACCAGTGTCCCCTAAAAACAAACAATGATTACCGTAGGTCAAGACAAGACTTGTCAAATTCCATTTGTTGATCTTAATCCCCTTTAGCAGGTACCGGAGGGGAATACAATCTTCCAGATAGTTCAAGGTGTTGGTCCTAACACACAAGTCCTTATGCAGCTCAGGACCAGGTTACTTGAGAGTTATTTCTTATCCACACAGTAGATCACTGTAGTCTGCAAGAGAGTTTCTTTTGCAAGTTTCAAAGATCTCAAAAGCCTCAACTCAGAGCAAGGCTTTTAGAACGGCTGTCCTTGGTCTGTGGAATAGGGTACTTTTCGAAGGTAACAAAAGGTACCTGCTATCTGCACATTCTGAAAATGACTGAATACATTTTTGTTCCAACAGACATTCTCAGTTGGATAAATGGATCTTTACCACAAAACTTCATTGTGTTTTTGCCTGTATTTAATTATATTGTGTTTAAATTGAGACAGTGGTTTAGAGGATAATAAATAACAATAATAACAACAACTTGTACAGAGTTGTTTAGGGCTTACACACACACAAGGCCTTAATACTGGCTTGCTGACTAACAGGCAGCCAGTGTAGATCCTTTAGCATGGATATATGTACCTGGTAAACGGCCCTACTCACCACTCACGAACTCAGCGTTCTGCACCAACTCCAGGCGCACATACCAGGGCATATGTCACTAGGCCTAGGGATAGAGAAGAAATTCGAATCAGTTTGCATCTAAAGGCTAACCTAAATAACTTGCAGTTCACACAAAAAAGATCTGAAAAGCAGACACCCTTCAAAATTCACACTTCTCCAGATTTTGCAATGCATTTCTCCAACCAAGTTATGGGTATAAGAATGCATGTACTGGGGAAAGTGTGTGAGCAAATGCATACATCACTGAAAATAAATTACAAAGATACATCAGGGGAAATACGCTTAGCAAAATATGTATGTTAGGTGAAACTGCATATGGTTCTAATTCATACAGGGGATTCCCATCATCACCACATATCAAACATTGTGTGTTCAAAAGCTTTTGAGGAGGTGGCAAGACCTGGAAAAAGCTTTTGTAGTTGGATTTCCAAACAAATGAATGGCCACATGCTCCTGGGGCTGCTGGCCTACATGCTTCCAAGGAGAAAGCATAATCTCCCCCTCCAGTATTGTCACAGAAGTTTCAAGACAACCACGCTGTATTCTTTTCCACCTTCTGCTAAAAACATTTTTGTCTGGACGAGCCTCTCCAGATGTTTAGAAAGCTGGTCAAGTTTAAATGTTTTGCTTCTAGTCTATTGTTATCTTTTCAAAAGTTTTATTTTAAAACGCTTACATAGTACAGTAGTTAAGTTCCACAAGGATGCATTTCAAAAAGACCGTAAAAGACTTAAAAGTCTCCTTCACCAGAGCCTACAGATGTGCTGGCAGCTGGACGAAGGCGGATGGGACATCCTGACCTCTGAGATTATGGGCACCTGGGAGCCAACGTTGCATCCTGGCTCCATCCAAAAACAATAAACCCACTTCAGCCTTTTTCAATTTACATTTCTTTTTTAAAAGTTTTAATGGTTTTTAGCAATATTCTTACGGGGTGTTTTTTGTAAACTGCTTTGAGGTTTGCTTGTTACAATCAAGTGGTATATAAAATGTATGGACTAAATAAAACAAACATTTAAACTCCTGCCAACATTTTTTAAAAAATGTTTTGTTTTTGCTAATTATTTTATTAGGCTTTTTGGTTTTGTTTTGTAAACTGCTTTGAGGTGCTGGCAATTTTTTTCCCCAATTGAGAAATGCATAAATGTCATGAGCTAAATAAAATAAGCAAGCATTGGGGGTTTTTTAAGTGCTGACTTGGCAACAGCAAGAGCCGCAGGCTGGCAAAGGGAGTGTTTTGTTCTGTCTTAATTTTAGGACCTGCATTTCCCCTACCCCACCATTTTAATTCTGCTTTTAACCATCACCTTCTCTGCGTTTTAGCACAGCTGCATTTCACCCGCGCGGTTTTCATTATTTTCTTTCGCCAGGTAAAATTTGTGAAGTTTTCCAAATCGATGCCAAATTAAACCGAACTGTGTGGCGTTTCCGTTCGCTCAAAGCTGCCCTGAGCCCCCCCCCCCAATATTATTTATTATAGAAATAACACATGTAAATTTCCCTCAGGAGGGTCGAGGGAGGCCTCTTTTTGGGGCAGTGGCCCCACCGAGGCGACAGAAACGCCTCACTTTCCTCTCACGCAAAGCGGCGGAAAAGGCATCGCCTAAATATACATAACTAAAAATAAATGAAGGAGCGGCTGCTATGACCACTTTTACGAGTAGAAAGGAAATGTGGGAAAATTTTCTCTTCACCAGCATTTAAACGGGTTTTTTTGAGAAATATTTTTCTCCTCAGGTTCTTCTGCCCCTCCCCCCACTCCGCCTTCCCGCGCCTGGTGACCGTGCTGCGCGCGCAGGCGCCCCACACAGCAATGGCCGCCGCGGCTTCTTAGGGAAGAAGGGGGCGGGGCAAAACTGAGCGCTCTTCCTAACCGCCTTCGCTCAACGTGATGACGTCGGGGCGAACGGGCTCCTTTCCTCTCTCGCTCCGCCTGCTAGTCCGCCCGCCTCTTCCCCCTCCCCCCTCCCCCCGCTGCTCTGTATGGTCGGGACGGAGGAGCTCGGTTGACGTCACTTCCCGCGGCTCCTTCTCCCCGCCCCACCCCCTCACGGCGATAAGTTTCCCGTCATCCCCCGCGCATCCTCCTTTCGCCTCGCGCGGCCAAGATGGCGGACACGCAGGTCGGAGCGGCTCCCCGTGACGGGGGGTGGGAGGGGGAGAGACTGCGGGTCCCCTAGGAACGGGGAAGGGGGCGGCTGGGGGGGGGTCCCAGTCTACTTTAAGGGGGGGTTAATTGGTGGGGGGCTGAGTGGGTGGGGAGGGGGGCTCCTGCTTTCTCCCGCCCTGAGGCCTCCGAGGCCTCTTCCCTCAACAGCAGGAGGGCCTCGCCACCGGCCCTCGCTTGCCTCAGGCGGCCCTGCAAGGCTGCTCTGCTCGCCCTCGTGGCCCGCAGGTCGAGACCCCACCCCCAAAATCCCGGCTTAGGAAACGGTCCTTGACCCCCTTCCTAAGACCACGACGAAGGAGGGTCCTGCTGCAGAATCAGGCCCGGGGGGGGGGCAGCGCTGCAGCCCATTATGAGGAGCTGGAAATCGGGCACAACACGTGCTCTCCCCTCCTGTGTTTCCTGTAAGAGGATGAGAAGAGGGTTCTGGATCAGGCCGGAAAGGGATCACCTGGTCCAGCATCCTGCTCTCACGGTGGCTGATGAGATGATGATAATAATAATAATAATTTATTATACCCCGCCCATCTGGCTGGGCTTTCCCCAGCCACTCTGGGCGGCTTCCAACAAAGCATTAAAATACAGTGGTCTGTTATCTAGTGTATCCTACCAGACAGAAGAGCCAAAGAAGCTGCCTGTGGACTCTGCAAGACCCACAGAAGCTGCTCATCTGCTAATGACCCTTAACAGATCTAGTCTATGTTCTTCCTTTCTAAACTCATTTATTCCTTTTTTCTCACATGCAGACTGAGAGGGCGTATCAGAAGCAGCCCACAATCTTCCAGAACAAAAAACGTGTGCTCTTGGGAGAGACTGGCAAAGAGAAACTCCCCCGCTACTACAAGAACATTGGTCTGGGCTTCAAGACCCCCAAAGAGGTATTGAGCTTAGAAGGCAGTTTGGGCCAATGGGAGGGTGCTTGTTAAGCCCTGTGAAGTTTGTAAAATTATACACAAAGGTAGACTACATTTCCGCTTTTATACCTTCCCTTGTGGAAACTTGAGTACAAACCTGTATGCTCAAAATAATTACTATATGTGGTGGAGTCATTAGGCCAAATGTTTAAACAGTAGGATAGTTTCCCTTTGCTGACGTATGATGTACATTCTCACGATGGTCTTCCAAGCCCCAATGGTGAAGGGGCTTTGACGAGAGTGTCCAATAGGACCTTACTGACGTCAGCTCATGTGCATAAAAGCAAGAGGCCTGGCTAATTCTTCATACAGCAGCCTCTTGCATCTAGGATATGATTTTATCATCAAGGTGGCAGACCTTTCTGTCTCTGGGCTGCACTGCTATCGGCAGCATCCACATAATGGGATGTGCCTACTTCCAAGAGATACATTACTGTTAGGTGCAGGAAATGCATCAGAGAGAAAGGTTCTTGCTTGGCCTTTTCATCCATGATCCTTTTCTCTAAACAAGGATTTGTGGGGGCGGGTTTTGCAGGAAGTTTCTATGATGTAAGATCAGTGTAGATACACACACATACTTCCGGGCTGAAGTAGTAGCCCAGATGTAGGTTTTACCCCTTCGGTGATAATTTCATTACCATCATCAGCTGAAGTCAAGCTGAGAACAGGACTGCATTAGGAGGCAGGCTGAGAAGCAGCCCTCCTTTCAGATTGTCGCTGGCTGGGAAAGAAATGGGGAGAGGTCTTAACAGGGAGGACTATTGCTATAATTGTATGAGGAGAAAGGGGGCCCTTCATTGTGCTTGTGTTGTCTCCTTCCTTGGTTGTGTTCTGATAACTCTCTCTTTGCATCCAGGCCATCGAAGGCACATACATTGACAAAAAATGTCCTTTCACTGGCAATGTGTCAATTCGGGGCCGCATTTTATCAGGTAGGAGGAGGTTCTGTTTAAAGCTAACAGTACAAGATGTGGACACTTACCGTATTTTTCGCCCTATAGGACGCACTTTTTCCCCTCCAAAAATGAAGGGGAAATGTGTGTGTGTCCTATGGGGCGAATACAGGCTTTCACTGAAGCCTGGAGAGCGAGAGGGGTCGGTGCACACCGACCCCTCTCGCTCTCCAGGCTTCAGGAAGCTCTGTGCAACCCTCGGGAGCCCGGCGCAAAGCTGCGCCGGGCTCCCAAAGATTGCGCAGAGCTTCCTGTGGTCCGCGCAGCTCCGCACAACCCTCTGGAGCCCGGCGCGGCTCCGGCATCGCTCTGGGGTCGAGGGAAGCTCGGGCTTCCCCTGCCTGATGGGGGGGGAATAATTTTTTCCCCCTTTATTCCCCCCCCCCTAATATAGGTGCGTCCTATGGGTCGAAAAATACAGTATCTCTTGTTTCTCTTTTGCCTTGTGGTGGATTTGCTTCCTGGAAATTCTTTTGTTTCCTGCATCTATCTATGGCACCATTTGTGAGCCATCGAGAAGTTTAACAGTGATCTGGGCATTGAATTTTTCCAGCGCACCAATAAGCCTTTGTGTGCTTTGTAGAGGTGCATTTGTTCAATAAAAGCAGTTAAAAACAATACAGAAGGTGAGTTTTGAAGCAGCATGAAGTACACACTCATATTGCAGTGATGGTACAGTAAATCAAGTGTACATTTAAAAGTCCCATATGGAAAAGGAAACCTTGGGTGCCTCTGGCCCTCCCAGTGTGGATGGACCACTCCCATCTGCCCCAGCAAGAGACATGGCGTCTGATCAGCAATGATGACAGGTGCCACTTTACTGCCACATGGTAGTGCTGTCTTCAAGGCAGCAACTTCTTCCCAGACTCCCAGGCCAGAGCAGGGAGTTCATGCAGGTCAAGTGAAGATCCTTATGCCTTGGATGTAACCCCTTTCCTTTTGTTTTCAGGATTTATAAACCAGATTTCTACAAGAAAGCACCCTAAGTAGCATGCAACTTAACTCTGCATTAAGATGGATAGAGTTTTAAAAGCTATACAACTGCCTAAACAAACAACAAAACAGTAAAATCTGTACAGCTCACAAATGCCTGATGGAATGAGTGTTTGCTAATTCTTGGGTTAAGGAAATGTTTCACAGGGACAATTGGTCAAAATGGGTTGAGATTGGATAGGAAATGTGTTTGATGCACGGTAGGGCAGCCTCCCTGTTCAGAAACAGACCCCAGCATCCTGTAATCAGAGATTTTGGTGTGGCCATTGTTCTAATGTTCTTTTGACATCCAGACCCATTTTGGTAAATGAAGCAATTGGGACTTTATTGGGCTTTACTGGTCAAGTTTGTTACTTTTGACTACCTTATTGTAACTGGGAAGCTAGATTGAGTCTTAAAGCAGAGGTGAAGAGCCTTTGGCCTTCCAGATACTGTTGGACCACAGTTCCCATGATCCCTGGCCGTGGGCCATGCTGGCTGAGGCTGATTGGTGTTGGGAGTCCAGCAACATCTGAAAGGTCCCCCAAGTTCCTCATTGGTTTGATTCCATGTGAAAAGTGGTAGGCTAGTAACAGATCACTTGAATGATTATTTGGAGCGTTCCCCCATAGAGCTGTGTGGCAGAGCCATATTTTGCTGCCAATAGCCCAGAGGTGCTGCACATCTGTTCCCAACAGTTCTCAAGCTGCAAGTGATGTTTTTCTCACGATGGTCTGCTGAGCCCCCATGGTGAACAGGGTTCTGATGAAATTGCCTTGTGGCTGAACTGATGGTGCTTGAATGGACTGAGGAGCAGGTGTGCTTTCCTTATCTTTAGGTCTGCTGCATCTGAATTGAACCTCCTAAATGCACATTATTGGTGTTCGTGTGGTATTTTGTGTCTCTGCCATCCCAGCACTCACACACAGGCATCCCTGGGGGAACTCATGAGAGGTGAGGGGGTGGGGGACAGAGGCAGGCCTCTTCCTTCGCCGAGCGAGTGTCTCATTCGTCTTCCATTCTCCCTCCATCCCTCAGGCGTGGTCACCAAGATGAAGATGCAGCGCACTATTGTGATCCGCAGGGACTACTTGCACTACATCCGCAAGTACAACCGCTTTGAGAAACGGCACAAGAACATGTCTGTGCACCTGTCCCCTTGCTTCAGGTGAGAGGGTGCGGGTCTCTAGCTGCCATCCCCGACCTTGCGCAGATACTGTTTTATCTGGTTCCTTCAGGTCTTGCATAAGGTTTGCAGATCAGTTCCTGCTTCGTGCTGTATAAGCTGACACAGGTAAAATAATTACAACACACAAAGAACAGCACCGGTTATTTTTGCCCCTGTATATTTGTAGCCCTCTTTTAGTTCAAATAACAGAGAACTTTTTGTAACTGGGTTTGTGGTTGGTCTAGCAAGCATGTTGGTGATGATGTACAAACTCACGATGGTCTTCCTAGCCCTCTCTGGTGAATGAGAGGCTGCTGAAAATGCCAGTCTGGCAGTCACTGAACCATAAAGCTTGCTCGGTTGGAGGGTGGTTGTTGTTTTTTGTCACCTGAGTTGGCATTCTATTTATTTTTCTTTTAGGGATCGTATAAGCTGTTCATCAACACATCTTCCACTATTTATTTATTTATTGGTCTTTTCATGTTTCCTCAGGCTTAGTTTGTATTCTGTCAAAAAATTAACAAGACCTTCTTTCCCTTAATACGCACTCTCCTACATCCCTGCCCTAAAGTTGTTGTTACTTTCTCATGGTTCCAGGGATGTGCAGATCGGAGATATTGTGACTGTGGGCGAGTGCCGTCCTCTCAGCAAGACGGTCCGGTTCAACGTCCTCAAGGTGACCAAGGCTGCCGGCACCAAGAAGCAGTTCCAAAAGTTCTAAAGTGGCTCCTCATGGCTCTCCTTGGGATGCTCAAATAAACCTTTTGTAAAGACCTTTGATTTTGTTACTTCTGGGGAAGGAGGTTTTTTGGGGGGGTAGGGGACACAGCTCCCTTGTGGCACATCCCATCTGCTTGTATCATCTGCTGCTGCCAGAATTCGTTCTGTGAAAAGAGAACTCAGTAAGGCATGCCTGGAAACAAATAAGGGTGCCCTTAGTAAATCGAGTGCCAGTAGGGATAGCAACTGAGCATTGTGCCTAAAGTGGGAAATCTTCATGGTGGAAGTTAATTCTAAAGGAGGACAGCAAGTCCTTCAATTGTTAGGCGGGCAGCATCTCCTTTCATTTCTAGTGACACTGAAAATAATCTGCACCTTTGCTGCCTTACAAGAAATCTGCGTAGATGATTGTCCTGTTGACCTAGCTATTTTCTTTTTTAGCATAGGGTTTCAGAGTTAAAAGGAACCATGCTCATCTGTTGCTATGGCCTGGATAAATGCCCCTGTGTTTCATCTGCATTACTTGAAAGCAAGGCTGCCTGGTGGTTATGTTTTGAAGGGCAAAAGGGGGTTTGCTGGTCATATCAAAATGCTGTATAGTCTGTCAGCAAGGGAGAGTTTTGCCGGAGCAGCGGCAATGCCCACTTGGCCTCCCGGTCTTTCAGCAAGCTGATCAGGAAGTGCACCTTGGTGCAGTCATCGGGGAAATTCCGGGCTCGCCCCTGAATATACAGCTTGGCCTGGGCAAGAAACATGGGAAAGCTGGCTGGGGACCCATTGAATTTCTCTGGCAGGGCCACTGGATACTTGCCAGAAGCTGGGGCGTCGGCACCAGGAGCTGGTAAGGCGTCCAAACGCTGCTGAAGCGCTGTAACTGCATTGCTTAGCTGCTGAACGGTGTGGGTCAAAACCTGGTTTTCCTGAGCCAATGCCACCAGTGCAGCCTCCTGGTCAGCCATGGCTTCTGGTTCCTCCCGAATGCACCCCAACGAAGGGGGAGTGCGGGTGTGGCGGGCGCAAACTGTGCTGGTCCCATGGGTTACCGGAGAGGCTAGGTCCAAGTCCGGTCCTTGGTCAAATGTGCAACGTGGGGGCAATCTGTAGTAGCTGAAGCTGGGTGCAGGGCAGGGAGTTGGGTGCAGGGCAGGAACAGGCTTGCAAGCAGGGAGCCAGGGCGGGTCAGGAGCTCAGGCAGGAACTAGCAACCAACAATGTTGCTCCCGCAACTTGGGACTGGGACTGGCCGGCTTTTATCTCCCCTGAGGCATAGGGTGGCCCCGATCCTCTGATGACTCGCCTCTCTAACCCTGAGCCTCTGCAGCCCAGGAGAGGCTGGAGGGTTACCGGACCCAGAGGCAACCTCAGCTTTCTCTGACGGGGCTGAGAGTGGAGCACCTGCAGGCAATGGGTCCTCCATCATCTCAGGAGCCAGAGCAGACTCAGCTGGTGCCTGCACCTGAGGATCCAGCACAGGTGAGAACCCTTCAGGCTCATGCCCCAGCCCCGGCTCAGCTGGTCCTGGAGGAGGGGAATCGTGTGCAGGCTGGGATTCCTCAGGTTCAGCATCCAAGTCCGAATCCCAGGCCATCACACCTTGTCAACAATGTGGAACTGTAAGGTAAAGGTACCCCTGCCCATACAGGCCAGTCTTGCCAGACTCTAGGGTTGTGCGCCCATCTCACTCTATAGGCCGGGGGCCAGCGCTGTCCGCAGACACTTCCGGGTCACGTGGCCAGCGTGACAAGCTGCATCTGGCGAGCCATCACAGCACACGGAACACCGTTTACCTTCCCGCCAGTAAGCGGTCCCTATTTATCTACTTGCACCCGGGGGTGCTTTTGAACTGCTAGGTTGGCAGGCGCTGGGACCGAGCAACGGGAGCTCACCCCGTCACGGGGATTCGAACCGCCGACCTTTCGATCGGCAAGTCCTAGGCGCTGAGGCTTTAACCCACAGCGCCACCCGCGTCCTTGTCAACCCGCGTCACACCTTGTCAACAATGTGGAACTGTGGTAGTCCCCAATTTGGACTTTATGAACATATGTGGAACAGAAACTAGCAGACATTTGGTCTTTATGAATGAACTGATTTGTTGGGACCTCCGTCTATATTATTGCACTTTATGTGTTGATTATGTGAAAGATAAACATTTGATATTGTGGTAAGAATATATAGAAGATTATTGTTTATGTGAATGCACAGCCCGTTACGTCTTGTGTGTTTGTCCATTCCAGGAACAGCATTCCTGACCCAGATGTTCACAAGAAGTCCCTAAGATGATTCCCCTTTCAAACAGGATACGTGAACCTAGGCCAGTAGGGTCCTCCTCTCTGGCAGACGGACAACCCCTTCCCTAACCCCCCACTTCCCCATGGGGGTCCCCCACACTACCCACTACTCATCAGGATGGCTTTGGCCGTCTCCTGCTTGGAGCAGTTCTGGGTTCAGAGCCCCCTGAACTGAGCTGCCTGGCAGTTCTGAATCACCTCCGGCAGGTACAGCTGATCTTCCTCCAGCAGGTGAAAGGCAAAAGTCACTCTGTCAGTTCCTCACAAAGGGAGGGCTTCTCCGCATCCGAGAGTGCAGAGTGGGGGGGGGGCAAGGAGGGCAGGTCTGAGTCCCTGCTCTGGTTCTCTCCAATACTCACGTCTGGGGGAGGGATGTGGAACCGCAGCACATCTGCAAAAGAAAAGGACGTGGGGACAGGTGAGTCCGTCCCTGAGCAAGGCTATTCCAAGAGTTTTCTCCTGGATTCCAGGCCAGGCCAGGGATAGGCAACTAAGGGTTGGGGGCCGGATGCGGCCCAATCGTCTTCTCAATCCAGCCCACAGATGATTCAGGAATCAGTGTGTTTTTAGATGAGTAGAATGTGTCCTTTTATTTAAAATGCATCTCTGGGTTATTTGTGGGGTATAGGAATTGGTTCTTCCCCCCAAAAAATATAGTCTGCCCCCCCACATGGTCTGAGGGAAGGTGGACCGCCTCACGGCTGAAAAAGGTTGTTGAGCCCTGCCCCAGGCTAACAAGATGGTCAATATCCGGTTCCACTCTATCCTTTTAAAATTAAAATAACAAAATGGATCCAACTTTCAGAGCATGTAAACCACATGAAGTGGAAAGACCCCTGCTCCACTCACAGAAATAGGACTATACTTCCTTCTCCCACCTTTAAAGTAAACGTAATGAAACCATATCGTCCCAAGTCTGCCTTCCTCCGCCAACCTCAACTCCTCTCCTCTCTTCAAGTCAAAAGACAACACTTCCCCGTCCCCGGGCGAAACCCCCTGGCCTTTCATTGGTAGAGCTGCCACCACGCAGGTAGCGTTTACCTCAGCGCAACGCAGGGACTGAATGAGGGGGCCAGTGAGATGCTTTCAGCATCAGACACTTGGTGGGTTCTGAAATGACTGTGAAGGCCAGATTCACGACCCATATGAGCTGGATTCGACCCGCGGGACATAGTCTGAGGACCCCTGGCCTAACACTGACTGGCAGTAGCTCCCCAGTTTCAGGCGGGTATTTTGTCCAGCCATTGCAGGAGATGTCAGGGGTTGACAATGGGACATTCTGCATGCCAAGCAGATGCTCTAGGGCTCCCCATATTTCACTAGCCTTTCAATGCTATGCTATTAGCAACCGTGGAGATTCCACCTCCCTCTTTCGAAAGGAGAAAACTCACCTGATCAATAGTATTATTATTATTATTGTTGTTGTTGTTGTTGTTGTTGTTGTATTATTATTATTATTATTATTATTATTATTATTATTATTATTATTATCATCATCTATACCCCACCAATCTGGATGGGTTTCCCCAGCCACTCTTGGCAGCTTCCAACAAAAGATTAAAATACAATAGTCCATCAAACATTAAAAGCTTCCCTAAATATAATAATAACAACAACCATCCATTTTCAGTCCATTGAATTAGCAATTAAGCATTTCTGGACAAGGGAATGGCATACTTTTGTATATTAGTATAAAAAGCATGCATAGGAAAGTATTACTCATTTATGACAAGTATAGGATTTATTTATTTTGAACTTTGCTGGGTTCCTCCTTGGCCGCCAGTGCGATGGTTTCAGCAGGGCTAGAACTCAGGACCCGCTGCCTTGAGGGTCACCTAAGAGCAGTTGGGCAGGGAAAGGTCTCCCTTGGGAGGTGGTGGACTCTCCTTCCTTGGAGGTTTCTCAGCAGAGATCGGACGGCCATCTACCATGGATGCTTTAGCGGAGATTCCTGCATTGCTGGGGTTGGACTAGATGACCCTGGGATCCCTCCTCTCTCTCCACTCCTGAATTCTAGGAGGAGCTTCCTTGCCTCCTACAAAGCCCTTTTCCCTGCAAGCTCTTCCTCTGGTTTCTGGCCAAGGGAGGGAGATGCTCAGAGTCCGGCCAAGAGCCTCACCCCCAAAAGGATATCTGGGCATTGGAGTAGCGGGGGGGGGGAGCAGCTGACCCCCTAAATCCATAAAAAATAATAAGAATCTGAGAGAGGGCTGAGCTGGAGGGACTCGGCTTGGCAAGGGTTAAAGGGAAGTGAGCTGCCTTCCTAGAGAGGACAGGAAGCAAGGGGGGGCAAGTCCTCCAGAGCCAAGCCCCCTCCCTCCCCAGTCCTTTCCTGCTTTGGGGTCTCTCCTGCAAGGGCTGCCTCGCTCTCCCCTCCTGGGATCTGGTGAGTCTCCTCTCTCTCCCCCCAGAGGGTGCAGTGGGGATACGGTGGGGGTCCCAGGGCTGGGGCAGGGGTGGGGGCCTGGGGGGCCTGATCTGCTCCTGCAGGGGGGACCCCAAGTCAGGGAGGGGAGGGTCCTGCCAGGGAGGGGCCAGGTCTGCCACGCTCTCCTTCCTGCAGATCAGAGGATCCCAAACTCATTTGGCCCTCCGCTCCCCCCCTTCAGAAAAAAACTGACTCCCCCGAAATCTCCCTTCCAAAGCTGGACGAGGAGGTGGACTAGCCCCCCCCCCAAAAAAAAAACAACCGTGGGGAGGGAGGAAGGGAAGGTGGGAGAGGAAGGCCAGGGATAAAGAGAGGGATCCCAGCCCAGAGTCTGGCTG